ATCTAGGTAGGTTTGTGGATTGTGTTGTGTGTCACCACAGTTGTGGTCTAGGTATACTTGTGGATTATGTTAGGTGTTGCAGGTGTCACCAGAGCAACGGTCTAGGTATATTTGTGGATTGTGTTAAGTGTAGCAGGTATCACCAGAGCAACGATCTGGGTATATTTGTGGATTGTGTTAGGTGTCAGCAGTACTGCCTTCTAGGTACATTTGTGGATTGTGTCAGATGTCACCAGAACTGCGGCCTAAGTATATTTGTGGATTGTGTTAGGTATCGCAGGTATCACCAGAGCAGCAGTCTAGGTATATTTGTGGATTGTGTCAGATGTCAGCAGAACAGCTGTCTTGGTATATTTGTGGATTGTGTTAGGTGCCACAGGTATCACCAGAGCAGCGGTCTAGGTATATTTGTGGATTGTGTCAGATGCCACAGATATCACCAGAGCAGCGGTCTAGGTATATTTGTGGATTGTGTCAGATGCCACAGATATCACCAGAGCAGCGGTCTAGGTATATTTGTGGATTGTGTCAGATCTCATCAGAACAGCGATCAAGGTATATTTGTGGATTGTGTTAGGTATCACCAGAGCAGCAGTCTAGGTATATTTGTGGATTGTGTCAGATGTCACCAGAACTGCGGTCTAAGTATATTTGTGGATTGTGTTAGGTATCGCAGGTATCACCAGAGCAGCAGTCTAGGTATATTTGTGGATTGTGTTAGGTGACACCAAAACAGCAGTCTAGGTATATTTGTGGATTGTGTTAGGTGTGGCAGATATCACCAGGCAGCGGTTTAGGTATATTTGCGGATTGTGTTAGGTGCCACAGGTATCACCAGAGCAGCGGTCTAGGTATATTTGTGGATTGTGTTCGGTATCACCATAGCAGATCTAGGTATATTTGTGGATTGTGTTAGGTGCCACAGGTATCGCCAGAGCAGCGGTCTAGGTATATTTGTGGATTGTGTTAGGTATCACCATAGCAGATCTAGGTATATTTGTGGATTGTGTTAAGCATCACCAGAGCAGCGGTCTAGGTATATTTGTGGATTGTGTTAGGTGTCACAGGTATCGCCAGAGCAGCGATCTAGGTATATTTGTGGATTGTGTCAGAAGTCACCAGAACTGCGGTCTAGGTATATTTATGGATTGTGTTAGGTGTCGCAGGTGTCTAGGTATGTTTGTGGATTATATTAGGTGTCGCAGGTCTCTAGGTATGTTTGTGTTGATGATAATTATATTGCGATCGCTGGTTGGCTAAAGAAGTTTCTATTAAAACAGGTAGATATAGATTGGATATCAAAGGAGTACGACAAGTTATTCAAAGAGTCACTTTTTTCGTAAGATTAGTTTGTTTAATAGCATCTTGTTGTTAGTTGAATTTCCATCACAATGCGGGATATTGATTCCTATGTTTTATCTGGTACCATTCTAAGAATAGTACCGACTTCCATCTTTAATAACGGCTACGCTTTAGCATGTTAGGCACGTTAGGCACTTTAGAAGCTATCGGTAAGACTTGTTCTGATAATCAATTTCCCTTTCGTAATTTTTCACACTCAGCTGTGGGAAATGATTCATGTATAATTCAACAAAAAATAACTACTTTAGCAATTTTACATACTTCAAGTTACCCTTGAGGTAATTCATAAATTTAAGGCAGGTTACTCACAGAAACTTTCATTGCGTTTACACATAAACTACTTACGAAAGCTTACACTTAATTGCGAACAGCGGTGTCTGTCCGAGCGTTTGGCAAAGTTCAACATTCACTTTTGAAATGACGGGAGAACAGGCATGAATAATGTTGATGCCAAATTTTATTTCGCAAGTAGAATATTCTACATTAAATTGTTAGGAATTAATCACACTATCATTCACATTTCAAAATGTGACGTAACTTAAAGAATAAAAGTGTAGATTTGCCGTATGTTATTGTTGAGCGGCTCTTAGCATGACTGAAATATACAACAATTACTTTACGCGGTGGGCGATGTAAGTAGCTCAGAGCTTTGGCTCTTCGTGAAACCAAGAGTGCAAAACAATTAACCTTTTTTAAAGTCCATGAAATAATTTAAAATGATAAATTAACTTAATTTTTTCTTGTCACTGGAGACGGGTACTTTAACTTGTAATTAAATAAACTCAAACTTCACACGTAACGATCACAGCGACTTTTGTTGTAGTGTAGTTATTGTACATTACCAATTTCACAAGTAGAGTAACAATGACGTGTAATTGTTTATACTAGTAATTTTAAATATGAATATTCCAAATCAACTGTTCCCAACCTTTCCTATCCTGAATCCCCCACCCCATTAAGAATATTACGGGTTTCCTTGCGTCCCCTTTCTTGAATTTCAGTGACATTTTCATCCAATTTCTAACAACGTCCTTAACCAATGGTCGTTACCTATGACCCCCCCCCCTCCTCCAATGTAGGAGGCTCGTAAAGATATTCTTAAGTTATCAATTTGAAAGAACAAGGTTGGATTTTCTTTGTTCGGCTTGCATTTAGAAAATGACTTTTAATACTTTTCGCTTGTTTTTGTGTTACTAATCTTTTATTTTTAGCCCCCCAGTGGCACAGCGATATGTCTGCGGAACTTACAACGCTAGAATCCGGGGTTCGATACCCGTGGTGGGCAGAGCAGAGATAGCTCATTGTGTTGCTTTGTGTTTAACTTCAAACAATCTTTTTTTTTCTTGTAGCAATGTAAATTTGAGAAAATATACACACCAAAAATCCCTCCGTATCAGCCACCTTAAAATTAATATATTTTTATACAAACTCAACCTTATAGATCTTAAAATAAGCTATCATCGTACAGAGTTGTGCTGATATCAAATATAATGTCCACCTTTACTAGCATAACGACTTTTCGTAGCATGATAAGTCCTCGCATATATCTCCACGTGGCCAATAAATACTAGTGATTTATAAGAAAATCTTATGATACCGCAGAAATCCCCTTCAGGTACCTACTAAATGAAAAATTATTTTTTTGTCTTTTTATCTTTTTTAAGGTAAAAATTAGAACATGTTCTGACAAATGTCACCTATTATATCTCAATAATATTGTACCTCTTGTACCCCTTTTAATATATTTGAATTACTAACAACTAAATTGTTTCAATCATTTATCAAGTCTGAGATTTAAAATCTTACGTTCTTTTGCTTAGAAGAGTAATAATAAAAATACCGTTTTGCTATAGTATTTTATAACATATAATATCATTGGTGGAAATTATTCTTTGAAGAAGTTTAGTATTACGGATTTTACAGATGACTTAATATAAAAAAAAAAAAATTGAAATGTACAATAGATATTACATCGCTATGGAAGATATAGAAACACATTTATCCGCTTCATTTACTCTGAAAGTTGATAATCTATTCTTTAAATTTTTTCTTTTTTTGGCTAAACTAAAAGACATGAAGCTTGAACGCAAGAATAGATTTTAATAAGACCCCATTATTTAGAAACGCTGTTTCAGCCTCTTAATTCCATATTTTAAAAACAAAGGAAATGTTTTCGTTAATGTTTTTGTTTTCTGTTTGTCATTATGAAACAAATAGTGGTTGACAGATTACTTTGAAAATATATTTTTGGATGTATAGTACTGTCGTGTGTTGTTATAAAATAAATTTTAGGTTGTGAATGTACGTACATGTTCTAAAAAATTTTAAGTTAAATATATTGAATAACATGACAGGAATGTATGATTTATTTTTTAAACTGGGATGAACCGCATTTGTTCTTATTTTGTATCAGCACTGCAAACAATTTACAAAGTTTAAAACAATAAGACCTTCAAGCCAAATGTGGATTTAAATAAACCACACTTGTTTTCATTTTGTACCAGCACTGTAAACAATTTACAAAGTATAAAACAATAATCTCTTCAAGTCAAATGTGGATTTATTTAGTGCGTTTAATTAATTCTATCCAAAAATTCGTATTTCTAAACACGAAACTTGATCTGAAAAGTACAAACACAGAAAGAGTTGTAAATGTAATATAAATGTTATCTAGGAAAGCAAACTTTTAGGGCTAAGCAGACATAGAAGATTTAAATCTTAAAAACTTTCTAATCCAAACAGTTGTAACTAAGGAAATTGTAAAGTATCAGTGACTAAGCTGTATTGGGATTTGTACTTAAAGCCATGAACTACTGAAATGATCAAACAGTTAAGAACGTTACAACTTCCCCTATTCTCTGGCAGTTAACGTGTACCTTTGTAATGGTCAGTGATCCCACAAGAGCGTATGAAATTGCAAGAAAACATTTCAAACCGTTTCCCATGATACTCCAAATGAACAATGCTTGTTTTTTTGTTTTTTTTCAGTTTTACTTGTGTCTCTTAAATGTTAAACTTATGACTAATAACATTTTAGCGAATAAGCCAGTTCATTAAATCTGTTTATTCTTGTAAGACAGCTTTTTTTAGTTACAGCTTTTATATCGTTTTAATCGTTGTCATGGTTAGTAAGTTATAGGATCACGTAAGTCTAATTACTAATTGGTAACTAATTTTTATGTAACTAGATACTAATTATCAACTAGTTTTATTCCTACGTTTTGAGTAATAGCCTGCTGCCGTCTTCTGGGGAGTTCTGAGAAGGACTATTTTCTGTGTTATTAGTAACTGGGATTTGATCCTAGGTCTTCTTTGTGTAAAAGTAGCTGGATTGTTTGATAGTTTACTTGAGTGAGTTATCAGTTTGGTGGACGTAGAAGGCTTCTTTTACCATTCTCTTTCGTATTCTATTATTTCAGCATTTTTCCAGTCTATTATATGGCTTTCTTCTCTGGCTTGATGGACTATTGTATCCAGGATTAATTTTTTTAGTTTATTGTAATAAACTGTTGCAGCAGGCAGTGGTTGAAGTGCACTGTTTTTTATAGTCAGTCAACGATGCATTATGATTAACAAATATTTTAGCTTATATATGTTTATTATAACAAACAGTGGTTTCTTACATATTTTATTCTTAGGTGTTTGCGTCAATAACACAGCACCAAGTGTCAGTTCTATTAATCGAATTCTAAGAAACAGAGCAGTTGAACGAGCTACAACTGAGTTTGCTAGAGCTGCAGGGTATGGACTCTATCATCCTTACGCTACGATGTATCCTTGGGGTGCTGCAGCAGTAACAGGAGCTACTTCCTCTTCTCCGGTTTGGTCTGGAAGTTACCACTGTACATCCTTACCAGTTAAGGTGGAGCCCGTCACTGCAACCTATCTTAGTCTGGCTAGTAATCAATTAGCATCAGGTAAAGTTTAATTCATATTCTTTTGCACGAGCTAAAGTGCTGTTCAGTATATTGAAATAATACGATATAATTTTTTTTTATTTTGGAGAAATTAATAAAAAGAGTTTTTTTTTCTTGTTTGGTTTTGGAAAATAGTAAACTAAATTTTTTAAATGGCTTTTAAAGTTATTCACAATTTCTTTTATTGAAAATTTTGAGCTATATAAACATTTATTGATGTTTCTTTCACCAACTTCTGGGTAGAAAAAAAAAACGGATTTGATATTTTTTTTGTTTTGATTCACTCCTCTGTTCTTTCAAGAGTAGAAATTTACAAAATAAAATAAAAACCGTTTAAGGGAAAAGATGATCTGAGCAACAACAATGTTTCAACAGAGTTATAACTGTTATGTTACTTTTGGTTGTAATTAGCACATGTATGACACCTTTTGCATAACTTTAAGAGTAAAATTTTAAATATGAAATTCCACCACTGTTATGATAATATCTTTCTTTGCAACAATAAACTAATATTTACTGTGTCGTCTTAACTATAAACAGAGACTGATAAAGCATCGCCTGGTGAATTGAGAGATCGACTCAACTTCCGTAGAAACAGGACTACGTTTAGTTCTGAACAACTAGAGCAATTAGAAGCGGAATTCGAGAAAACTCACTATCCATGCGTTAGCACTAGAGAACACCTTGCAGTTAAGACTAATCTATCTGAAGCCAGGGTCCAGGTAGGTTTAAGCTTCAAACTTAAAGTAATGGTTGAAGTCATAGTTGGTGGCAATGATTTATTAGGTTACCAGTAGAGTACTGGTAAATGAGATTTGTTTGCTTATAGTGACTGAATAGTTTAGTTTGTGAAAAAATCATCTTACTAAAAGAAAATAGTGTGTTAACCGCAGATGGTGAGGACGCTCGCTTCTAGTCATATTGTTGGACGTGTTTCGATCCCCAAGTGATACTATTAAGGTAACTTATTAAACACCAAAGACAAATTCCATCTATCAAAAATCCTAGAAATTTGGTTTTCTTCTGCTGGAGGATGAGTACTGCTTGTGAGAAAGTAAGAGTACAGTGATCTAGAAAGATAATTAAAGTGCTTCACTAACAATAACTATTGTGTTTTACCCATTTAGCTCAATTAGCAAGATTGCTCGTATCGTTTCCTGTTGAACCAAAAGTTTGTTTGTTTGTTTTGAATTTCGCGCAAAGCTACACGAGGGCTATCTGCGCTAG